GTGTTTACAGGGAAACAAAAGTGCACCTCTTGTGTACCATTAATATTGCAAAAAAAAGAAAATCACAACAGAAGACAAAAACTGGATACTGTGAGCAGGCACTTCACTGGATCTTTTCACCCGTAAACTCATTAACTTCCTTTCTCTTCTTTTGCTTCTTTTCTTCCTCCCTTCCCTCACCCAACAAGCTTCCATGGCAGAGTGGGGATTAGAACCCGGGTCTCCCAGATCCAATGGAGATATTACAGCAATGCTGTGAATTCTGGGCATTCTCCGCATCTGAGGAAACAGATCTTGTAATAACGGACCCCAGAAACATTGCTTGGGAAAACGGGGGTGGTGGTGGTGGAGGTCCTGGATCCCTCGGAGATAAAATCATTCCTCCTCCCCCAAAATGTCATATTTTCCAAAGTATAAAGTACTACTTATCCATCATATGACAAAAGAGGTAAGGGGAACATGGCAAGGACATAGTCAGATTTATTCATAAGTAAACACAAGCTTTGGCAGACGTCCTTAAGGCAAAGAGGCATCACCTCCACAGCTCTCTGCCAAGGTTTGCAAACTGCCTAATCACACAATCCTTAAACAAAGAACAAAGTCCAGAGTTGCTGGAGGAGCAGAAGACCTCTCATGTTAATGGGTACCTTGAAGGCCTCCCTCTGTATTCACACTCCTTTAAGGGCTGGGGGGGCCAACAGTGGGAGGGCTTCTAATGTCCTGGCCCCACTGGTGGACCTCCTGATGGCACCTGGTATTTCTGGCCACTGTGTGATACAGAGTGTTGGACTGGATGGGCCTTTGGCCTGATCCAACATTGGCATCTCTTATGTTCTTATGTTCTTATCTGGTCAGTGGATGGAGGCAGGCAGATGAAATGGGAGGGGACGTTGAATTTCATCGGGCGCAATTACATCACTTCTAGCACGACCCAGAAGTTCCTGCCTTGCACCAGGATTATATACTAACAGTGTTGTCCTGGTGCAATGCTGGCACTTCTGGGCCACGCCAGAAGAGGCATCATTCCATAGTGACAAAGATCACCCTTGCCCGCCCCCCCCACAATAAGTATCTGCATCCCCCCCATCTCACCTGGCAACCCTATGTTTGATCCATGCCAGAGGCTGGAGGGCACTTCTCCTTGCCTCTGCAAACCTCAGGCACTTGGCATTTAGAGCGCAGTGGGAAGCAAGGCAATTACATTTGCATAGCTTTGCATATCTGCCTCCCTTTGTTGTTTCATCCCAGCAGTTCAGTGGATCAAGGCCATTAGAGTCGCATTTTAACTTAATCTCTATGCTAAAAAAAGCCTATCTCAAAAATCAGGGATTGTCTTGGAGCCTTGAAGCTCAATAAAATCAATTATTTATTTATTTATTTATTATTTTCCATTTGTATCCCGCCTTGCCAGGGAACTGGCTCAAGCAGCGCAATGTGTTACATGAAACACAGAAGAGGGAGTTGGAAAGGTATACAGGGTGGCAGAAAAGAGTATCTTGAACTAAGACCAGTTAGACCCAGGTTCAGAGCCCTGTAGGCCACGAAACATGGTGTCAGCAAAAATCCTACGCAGTTATTTCTGCCTAGATTCATAGAAATTAATGGACTTTGACTGGAATAACTGTGTGTAAGCTTACACTGTTAGTGACTATGGGTCAGTCATATTCTCAGCTTAACCTACTTCACAAATTGCTGTCAGGATATAACAGAGGAGGGAAGACCAAGGCATGCCACCTGGAGTTTCTTGGAGGAAAGATGAGACGAACATGTAAGAAATAATGAAAAATAAAGAGAGTCCAATGGCACCTTAATGACTATCTCTTTTTTGTAGTATAGGGTGGGGGAAAGCTGAAAAATAAATGTCCATATAATTCTGGTACATTCAACAGCTGTGAGACAGGACATAATTCAAGAGGTGAATTAAATTCCATCAATTAGGGTTGCCAACGTCCAGGTAGGGCCTGGAGATCTGGAATTAGAACTGATCTCCAGATGTAAGAGATCAGTTCCCCTGAAGGTGTCCCTACTGTGGTGCCAGAAGCCCACTAATACTTTTCCTGTCATCCACCAAGTGTTTTTAGAAAATGGGTAGATCCAGGTGCAGCTTTTACCTAGTAGGGCTTCTGACTGACCACTGGAGATTTATTTGGCTGGGCAGATTTTTTTAAAAAAGTTGCTTCAGCAGCAGCTGCCACCACAGCACAAGGTTCTTCACTGGAAGAAGAAAGGTAAGCTACTGCGGCCACTTTGTGGCTGGCTCTGCCTGCCTCCTGTGATGGCCATTTTGAGGCTGTGTCCACCACCCCATATGAGAATTACAATGGGTGCCCAGAGGCTCAAAAATGTTGGGAACTCCCGCCCTGGAGACATTGGCTGCTTTGCTGGGTATGGCATCGTATCCTGCTGAGATCACTTCCCTCCTGATACACAAATCTGAAGCCAAGGTAAACAAGTGTAATTACTGACACCACTGAGAGATGCAGTGAGTCAAATTATGTTTGTATGATGTTAACTGCTTGGTACCAATCAGAGATTCTTTAATGTGTAAATTATATGTGATGTCATTAGGGGTATGGCAGAATACAGCTTTGGAATTACTGAGGTGCTAAGGCATTCAGTCCTGTATTCCCTGTTTCAGTGCATTAAACAGATATTCATTTAATTCGTTGGACTCCGACTGTGTGTTTCCAATTCCACATGGGAGCACACAGGCACAGATTTGTGTATCACTCCCCAGGCTCCACCCACAAATCTCCAGGAATGTCCCAATCTGGAGTTGGCAACCTTGCCTTTCAATGGAGCAAATTTAGAGTCCAGTGGCACCTTTAAGACCAACGAAGGTTTATCCAAGGTATGAGCTTTCGTATGCATGCCCACTTTGTCAAATACCAACAGGGCTGACCACCTGGAATTGGCTTTCAATGCATTATCTTAGACTAGCAGTAAAGCCCGTTGTGAAAGCAATACAACGAGATCTAGAAGGAGGCTCTGGGGCAGTGCTCTGGCTTTGGGCAAACAGTGTCAATTTGCTGTGGTGACCTCAGCAGGGTATAATGACATAGTCCACTGTTTTCTCCAGAGGAACTGATCTCTGCTACCTGAAGAGCAGTTGTAATTGTGAGTGATCTGTAGCCCTCACCTGGAGATTGGCAGTAATTGTTACCCAGGACAAAATGGCTGGTTTGGAGGGTGTAGTCTATGGCATTCTACCTGTCTGAGGTCCCACCCCTCTGCAAACCCCACCCTCTCCAGGCTCCACCCCTCAAATCCCCAGGAATTTGTCAGCATGTAGTTGGCAACCCCATCTCCTTCCCAGCTAACCATCAACCTACCATTATCTGCCCCTTTGACTTCAGCTGACTTCTGCCCTCCCTTCTGCAGAGCAGTTGTAATTCTGAGTGCTCTCCAGCCCTCACCTGGAGATTGGCAACAATGGTTCCCTATGTGGGACTGACTGGTTTGGAGGGTGGAGTCTATGGCAGTGTACCTGTCTGAGGTCCCACCCCTCCTCAAACCTCCCCCTCTTCAGGCTCCATCCCTCAAATCTCCAGGAATTTCCCATCTGGAGTTGGCAACCCTATCAGGACTGGCCCCAATGTGTTTTCTCCCAAAGGCCAAAGTAGGTGACAGGACCAAGCTTAGTTGCCTACCAACAGGCACTGAGGGGAATGTAGGGTTGCCAGCTCTAAGGAGGGAAATACCTGGAGGTTTGGGGGGTGGATTCTGTAGAGGGCAGCATTGGGCGGGGGGGCGAGGCGGAAGGACTCAGCAGGTATAATGTCATAGGGTCTACCCTCCAAACCATCCATTTTCTCCAGGGGAACTGATCTCTGTCATCTGGAGATCAATTGTAACAGTGGGAGATCTCCAGGTCCCACCTGGAGATTGGCAACCCTAGGGGAAAGTCAGCTGCACAGCAGGGGGTTGAAGAGAATGGTTTGATGGCTGCTGGGCCAAGATTGGCAACAATAGTTCCCCAGGAGCCCCATCGTAAATGCACCAAACAATTCCTAAAGATTTTCCAAAACACTACTCTGTTTTGGGCTCCTGGGGAACTTTGAAGTAGCACCAAAGCTTTAAGATCTCTCCAGCTGTCACCTGGAGACTGGCAACAGCTTGTCTGGAGTGTGGGCAGTATGGCATTGTATCTGTCTGAGGTCCCCCTCTTCCTCCTCCTCCTCAGATTCCACCCTCAGCAGGCTTCATCCCTAAAATATCCTGGAAGTTTCCAACCTGGAGTTGGCAACCCTATGTACTGGAGTGTGGAATGGAGTGAAGTCCAATCAGCTTCCATATGCAAATGACCTTGGAATGCTGGGGGGGACTGCACAAAGCAGCCAGTCAACCCAGCCAGTGTCTTCTGAGTGGCAGTTCTTCCGGCCTAACAGTAAAGGGGCCAAATTTAGAATGTTCAATATAGAATGTTGCTATTCAATTATAATAAGGGAGAGACGGCATATTATCTACACAGCAGCAATAACAAGGGGAAAATGCTTCTATTGCATTTCTACTTAAAGGACTTATAAACTGCAGTCTCCCTGTTGGAACAAATTACACTAAACTAAAATAGCAGCTTTGTTAATAAGACACACCCATAAAGGTTTGCAGACCTAAAGAAGACCTTTAGGGACGAGCCCTTGAGCCGTTCCTTTAGAATAACCTTACTATTCTCCTCGACACTTTCGCTACCGGTTTCTCCGATGCCCCCTTTTCTTTGACGCCGTCCTAAAATCAGGGGCACTTCCAACCTTGCCCTCATCTTTGCCACACCGATCTACCCTTCAACCCGCCTGGGATTTTTCCGCCGCGCCCCAACAGCTGGTGACGAATCTGCCGAGCGGAAACGCGACCGCCTCTGGCTGGGCAGATTTCCCTCAGCGGCCGGAAGTGGCCCGGTCGCCATTTTGTCTCCTGGGCAATGGCGAACCTGAGAGGAGCGAAGCGGTGAGGAGCGGCCGGGCGACTCGAGGCTTCGGATTCCTTTCCCTCGCCTCGTCTCCATGTACGTCGGTCGGGCGAGCGCCGCGTTGGCGGCGGCGGAGGCCAGGCCGGCGACGCCGCCGCGGATTATGCTGGCGGGAGCTGGTGGCGGGGGGGGGCTCCCGGGTGCGGCCTGCTCCTCCGCCGCGGCTGGGGGCCCGGCTGGCGGCGGCGAAGGTGGCGGCGGCAGCGGAGGAGGCGGCGGCCGCGTGGAGTTGCTGGTCTTCGGCTACGCCTGCAAGCTGTTCCGCGACGACGAGAAGGCGCTGCAGCAGGAGCAAGGCCGCCACCTCATCCCTTGGATGGGCGACGCCTCCATCATGATCGATAGGTCGGTGCCACAGAGCCCCCCCGCCCGCCTCGCGCTGCTCTTGACGAGGGAGGGGGAGAAGGGGAGGGAGACACAGGTGGCCTCGGCCAGAGAAGCCGTCAAATATGTGTACGCATTCAAAAGGTGGTGGCTGGAGATCCTCTGGGATCACAACTCATCTCCAGGAGACCGAGACCAGTGCACCTGGAGAGAATGGCCACTTTGGAAGGTGGACCCCATGGCGTTTATACCCCATTGCAGTCCCTCCCCTCCCCAAAACCTGCCCTCTTTAGGCTCCACCCTCCAAACGTCTAGGTATTTCTCAAGCCGGGGCTCGTAACCCTAGCCCGTACCAAGAAATTATTATGTTATGTTTGATGTGTGTACTTCTGTGAGTGGGATTTCAAGCTGTTTTAACCGGGTGCCGGCCCCTGGTGTCGTACAAACTGTTGTATGTGTGTACATTCAGAATGGTGGACTGTAATGTGTGTGTTTGTATATGAAACAAACACATTTATATGTTGGAAGTTAATCTTATGGCCTAAGAAACAAAGTAAAAGATACATGTGTTTAAATATAATGGTTAAAAGTCTGTACATGTGCACATATGTTTTTATATGTATGTGTATATACATGCATACATGTATTATAACCACCTCTTCCCGTATGTTCCCCCAAGAGCACTACGATTGGGGAGCCTCCATCTCTTGGAAGTTCCAGGTCCCTGAGAGATTAAGTTTGCCCCTACTAGGGCCACGGCATTTTTGGTGGCGGCTCCTACCAGGTGGAACGAGCTCCCGGGGGAGATCCGGGCCCTGCGGGACCTTGCACACTTCCGCAGGGCCTGCAAGCTGGAGCTCTTCCGCCAGGCTTATGAGTAGGAGCCGCCGCCACCACTACTCCACCACCACGGTAGTGTGTCATTGGCTGCCCCCACTAAAGGGGGGTAAGCATTGCCTGGCAGGAGCTTACAGACAGGGTGCGGGAGACCGCGCTATCGAGAGAGCTAGCTAGCTGCCAAAATTGGGGTGGTTGCTCCCATCTTGGAAGAAGTGACATAGGAAGATTACAGCACCGTGATGTGGTATGGATTTTATTGTGGTTTTAAATGTTGTTATTCTGTTACATGTTTTATTGTATTTTATATCTCGGCTTTGCCACATGGGAGGGCGGGATACAAATCAAAACATACATAAATAATATAAGAATTTGTTTTCCGTAAGGATAACTAAAAGTGTATGCGTACATAGATATGTGTTTGAAACATTTTTAAACATAGGTATTTGTGAATATGTAAATGCATTTATATAAGTGTGTGTGTGTATGTATATCTATAGTAACAGCCAGAATAGCCCTGACAAGCCCAAGTTCATAAGAGCTTGGAAGCTAAGAAAGGTCAGCCATGGGTAGTGCTTGGATGGGAGCCCACCAAGGAAGTCCAGGGTTAATACACAGAGGCAGGCAATGGGGGACTACCTCTAGTCATCCCTTGCATTATAAACATGGGTCCATGGTTTTGGAACTACCATGAGTCTGTTGTGACATGACATCACACAGTTATTATTATTTATATACATGTGTATTACATATCCAAGTAGGAATATATGTACATATATTTTAATATATATCTAGAGTTGTGGGGTAAGCTGCCACCAGTATGCGGACAACATAGAAACCCTGAATAGGTCCTGCCTGGAGACAGTTCTGGGATGGAGGAGCGCTAACAAACTGAAACATAGTTCTGACTAAACAGGTGCTGCTGGTGGGGGAAGGTTTGGCCCAGGAATTGGAATACCTCTTGTGCTGGATGGTATTGTGCTTCATGCAAGGGAGCAGGTTCCTAGCATGGGGGATGCTGCTGGACCTGGGCCTCCTGTTAGATAAACAGGTGGCAGTGATGGCCAGGGGTGTGGTCTACTAACTTCAGCTGAAGCTGACGAACCAGCTGTGCAGACTTTTCTGGGCAAGAAAGATCTTGCTACAATGCTCTATGCCATGGTAACAGTACACCATATGTAGGGCTGCTCTTGAAGAGCATTGGGAAGCTACCGTGGGTACAGAATGCTGGGGCCAGAATGTTGGTTAGAGGGTGTCATAGGGACCCTGTCACTCCAGTCATGTTCCATATACCCAGATTTGCTACTGGGCCCAATTTGAGGTCCTGTTATTAACTACTTTGGCTTTTGGACAAGCATACTGTAAGGATTGCCAACTCCCTTATGAACCTACCTAGCCACTCCAGGCATGCTTGGAGGCCCCGCTTTGGGTGCCCCCACCATCTGAGGCTAGACAGGTAGCAACTTCAGGAAGGCCCTTCTCGGTTGTAACACTAAAACTTTGAAACTCCCTCCCCAGTGAGATTTGTCTGTTTCCCTCGATAGTTGTCTTCCACCAGCAGGTGAATACTTTGTTTTCATTGCCATTCCTCCTCTAACTGTTGTTGGCCCCCTTCCCTGGTTGTGGTGTTATGTGTGCAGGGTATTTATATATTTTATTGCTGTCACAATGTTGAGCTGTTTTGACATTTGCCACCTTGGAGACCCTGTTTGGATGGAAATATTTTAGATAAATAAATTTACACACTTTTGAGTGCGTACATATATTTATACATATATAAGATATAGAGTAAAGTTGGCAACTCTGTCATTATAACTTCTGTTTTAAAACAAACTAGCTCTTGTGCCTCTTGCCAGTAGCCTGTGATGAAGAACAAATTTAGCAGTGAAGTTCTTCCTTCATTTGGGTGTGTGTGTGTGTGTGTGAAAATTTTCTGTTCCTGAAGTTCACCATCTCAGGATACTATAAAGAGACACATGAACAGGGCCAATAGGATTACTAGTTTAAAAATAATGCTTCTGTTCTTGTGCCTTTATCAGCAGCTTCAGGTACAAGCAGTTAAGGGGAGGCTCTTCCCATCATTGCTGCCCCACTCCATAGCAGAAAAGGATGCCCTCCCCTTTCAATTGGCAATGGTACTGTCTTTTGTAGCAGCCTGTCACAACGAAGTTTTTCAATCCATGGAGGCAGATGATGAAAATAGATGATGCAAAAAACCCTTCCCTGCTCATTTTCTGCTTATTAGCTTCTGATAAAAACACAGGGCTAGAGCAGATTGAATTTAAAAATGCCACAGGATCTGAGACTTGTGACTTGACTGATTAAAGAGCCCCTGGCCTCTCCCATTCTCTTTTCCTCCCTGGCAGAGGGTTACTGTGTTACTGGGCCCACCCCCCTTGCAGGTGGAGGCAATCTCCTTTTCAAACCAAACTTCATAATGGCTTCTCTTAGTACAAAGGAGGCTGACCTTTTCTTTTTTTTGTATACCTGTGGAAGAACAAAATGGCATATTGTATTTTCCTGTGGATTGTGTATAGATTTGTAAATTAGTTAATCCTGGCTGGTGTTGCTGTACTTGATAAGCCTTTGGTGCTACTTTTCTGTGACATGTCCGGAATGTTTTGCACACAGTCAGGCCCACTTCAGCTTTCAGGAAGACCGGCCACACTAGTAATGATGGATTGTGCATTATTGAGTGTTGTTCTCTTATATCGTATTTCAATTGGGCTTTTCCTTCAAGGCTTTCAGTGTGACGTGTACCGTAACAGCAGCACTGGGAGGCAGGGTCAGCTGTGACATAGCCAACTGCTTTAAGGCCGCACATTGAGCCTTGTGGTTGTCAGGGTGTGATTCTGGGATTCCTGTGTCCAGGCCCAACATTTTTGATATGTTAACGGTGCTGGTATTTAATAATGTGTCTGACATGATGAAGGCTAGGTGTACTTATCAACTAATCCTTGAGTGACGGCAGTTGCTCCCACAGTAGTCTGCGTCCTGCTTACCTTTGTGATGGATTGTAGAATTTTGTTAGAAACTTGGAAGTCCTGATTATTGTTCATAAATGGAAATCCTGTGACAGTTTGTGGGTTGGTGGCTACTGCAGTTTAAACAAACCATATCAATATTTTTCTGGTTGTATCAAGTTGAACTTCATTACTCCAGATGATTGAATAATCTTTGAGTATGAAGCATTGACTCTGTCGTTCAGTGTCTGGCTGGGTAGGAAATCTATGCAAAGTGGGACTGAAACCACATTGATTTCGGTCTGGGTAAGGTTCTCCATGAACTCAGTGGAAGAGAGTCTGAAGGGCTTTGGTTTGAAAAGGAGCACGTGGCATATTGTAGGTGTTTGCTCTTTCCATTTCTCTTCCACACAAGTCTTACCAGTTAGCAATAATTCCAGGATCCAAACTGGGGAGGATCCCAGTTTTTATGATATAAATATTCCATCTTTGATATCACAAAACAGGCTGGATTGAGGAATTGTCTTGCAGTAGAGCCTCAAAGTGAGTTAGGACATCTGTAGAGATTCTGTGTATAAGAAAGTGGCATGGAACTAATAAATGCCTTAGTTTTGCTGCTTGACCAGACAAGCTTTTCCAGTTTTTAGTATTTGTGCTAAGTGGTAGATTGAAGATTGGTTTGGAGAACTTAGTTACACAGGTTGAATGGCAGTTTAAATTTAAGGGCCTTGTTTGATTCTTCAATATCCATGGAAAAGATATCAGTAGGAAGTTTATATTTACTACAAACACATTTTTTAAAAAATCTCATCCTTTTCTGAAGGTGTACTGCGGAGTAAAAGCATCCAAAATCTGGAATGAATTGGCTTGACAAATGGTGGGAGCAAACTGTACATATGCCCATGGATCTTTAAACCAGTTAATCTACATTTGTAAATTAAGGAGGTTTCACAAGCATGTTCTTAACCACAGCATTGAATTGGTTTAATTTATGCACTGAATTAGCAGAGGAAAAAGAATTAGGCACCTGAATACAGTGGAGGTATTTGAAAGCTTTTCCTAGCCCTTCACTAATCACCGTATTTGGAAATCCATATATCATTGTGAGCAGCCCAGAAAAATTGTTCATTGTTCTGCAGAAGTGAACTTGGAATTGAAAGATTCACAGCAAAAACTCTTATGGGAAATGCTTTTCAGTTAGCTAGGCTGATGTGCTGCTTGCAGTGTTTTTGAACTCTTTCTATCAAATTTTCAATGCCAGATCCATCCAAGACTAATGGAATTTGGCTTTTCCGTCAGCTCATTTTTTTCCTTTTTGCAAGGAAAATACCAAACTATCCTAATTCTATTCAGTGAATTAAACCAGCCCTGCAGATGAGTCCATAGATGTTACTGGACTGCTTGCCAGCACAAACATTTGAGGCAGTTTTGTGGTTTACGAGACTATCCTTGCCTATACACCTGCAGTTGGATTTCACTTGCCCCAGGTGACTAGCGGAGTGGCTGCTTGAAATCCAAAACTAGACAATTTATTCCTAGTCACAAGGTGTTGTATGCCTCTAAGCATTTTTTGTAACTTCGATAATGAACCTCCTTAAATTGCACATTTGTGTTACTGTTCCTATGTATGTGTGTCTCTCTATCACATAACCCAGGACTTCTTTCCTCAGCCGTATGGCTAGGGGCCGAGCCTAGCCATGATTTTACCTCCAATGGACGCAAGTTTCTTTGGTGAAGATTTCTCCTGAGAGTTCGAGTAGCAGAAAGAAGCGAGGAAATTGCCACCGTTTGGTTCTTACGGATAGGTATTTATGTATTTGGGTTTGTGTAAATGTAAGCTATTTTGACTTTCCAGAAAAAAAAAAGTCTTTTGTCAAGGGAGTGTTGAATGGTTGAACCATAAACGGTAAGAACTGTAAAGGAATCGCTTCCTCTTTAAATTAAGTTATTTTGCCTTTAATATTACTAGTCCTTTAATGGGGAGCTGAGACTTTTTAAAAAATAAAAAAAGAACTTTATAGTGGGCAAGAAGTGATTAGTCAGATTAAATTAGTCTGAAGTTAACTGAATTGATTTTTTTTTCAATTTTATGTGGTAAGTATTTGTGTAGTGGCAGAAACCCAAGTCCAAAGTTCTTCCATTGACCATTCTTTTCATGTTGCAGGTATGATGGGCGTGGTCACCTGCATGACCTTTCTGAATACGATGCTGAGTATTCCACATGGAACAGAGATTACCAGTTGTCTGAAGAGGAGGCTAGAATAGAAGCCCTCTGTGATGAAGAGAGGTATTTAGCCTTGCATACGGACTTGCTTGAGGAGGAGGCAAGGCAAGGTATTGCTCAAGGATAACTTCTGGAGTTAGAACACATTTAATTGAAAATTTAAAATAACTTTTTAAAAAAAATTAAACTTGTTCCCACTTATTTTATACTCACTCTTTCTGATATTATTTTGACAGTACCCAGTGGATTCGAAAAACAGGCGTCTTTGCGTATCTGAGAGGACCTCAGGATAGTTTATATATAGAGCCTCACAGAAATTGCCCAAGTTTTGAGGGCAGACTGAGAACTGAGACACTTTTAACTGTTCTTCTTTAACAGTATTGTATGAATGAAAGTTTATGTCTTTGCCTTTGCTTGAAGTAAGAATGATTAACTCTTAAGACACTTATCTCGGCAGGGGAAAAATGATCAACACAAAACATGCCTTCTGCCCCCTTTCCTTTTGGGTTCTCAGTAACTTGTTGGCAGAAGTCTCAGTATCTACAAATGACTCATGTGGTGAACTTGTTTTAATGTTTGTATTTGGATGTTAGGAGTAAACCCTTAACATACTTTCTGATTTTTTAAAAAAAACTCAAACTGTAACTGAAATGTGTCCATTTTTTAATTGAATTTTACATTTTTGTTCCAAGAGGAAGAATACAAGAGGTTGAGCGAAGCTTTGGCGGAAGATGGTACCTATAATGCAGTGGGATTCACTTATAGTAGTGATTATTATGATCCTTCTGAACCCACTGAAGAGGAAGAACAGCCTTCAAAAGCAAAACGTAAGCAGTTCCATAGATTAAGAGGGCACTAAACTATTCGTTTTTTCAGGAGTAGCAATTTGTAGCTTAAAATGATACTTGTAACTGCAGATTGAGGAGGGGATGTTTTCCAGCATAATTTGTAAAATGCAATCTGTGCCTGTTGGCAGTGTTGTGCTGAGGTTTTATTATGTAATGGTGTCAAAGGAGAAGTGTGTCCAAATGAGAAGTGCGTCCACCTGAAGAGGGACAGAAGGGAGGGATAAACTTCCCAACAAGGCAAGGTCAAAGAGAAAACACAGCAGTGCCTTCTCAGAGTGTGGTGCCCTGTAGACCCGGGCTAGTATGTCTGCTGATTGCCTTAAGGTTGACGCATGACTTTTTAGCAAGGTTTAATGTATTACGCACCAACACATCAGTATACCATCGACGCCCTGGAGGACATCTGGATATGGGCATGGATTACCAAAGCCCTAAATATACTTTTTTGCATCATGGGCAAGAATGGGACGTTTAGAGGACTGCCATCTTGTTTTTAGATAGCTCTGCTTCAGATAGGTTATAAATTATGATGTAATTTTAATATTTTGTATTGTTTTTTACTGTTTTATTAGCTATATGCTGTTAGCCGCCCTGAGCCTCCGGGGAGGGCGGGATATAAATGTAAATAATAAATAATAATCAATAAATAAATTTCTTCTGCTTTGGCTTTCTGCTATTGGCGCCCAAGACAGCTTATAGTACTTAAAAACAGTACGGGCAAATGCAAATTGAAGGTGATAGCATGAAGTTGAAAAACCGAGTGTGCCAGACACACAAAAAGAAAAGAAAGCAATGGAGAAGGCAAAGTTAGAGCTGAGAAGAATAACCAAGATGAGACTGTGCCAGAGGCCCAAGAAAATGGAAACAGCTTTCCCTGATGCTTGACTGAGAATTGTCATTGGGGCTACGGGCTAGTTATATTTACTGATTAGGTTTTTCCAGAAGCAAGTCGCTATCATAGAAAAGGCCCTCTCCCTGGTTGCCACCTGCCTTCTCAAGGTTCTTGGTTTTCCTTGATGTCTTTCCTTGGGAAATTGGACCTGAGACTCTGTCATCTTTGTCTTCTCCATTGTTGGGTCTGAGAATCTCTAATCTTTGTCTTCTCCGTTGCTTTATTTTTTTTCTTGGTAATGTGAGTGCAAGCCACAGAGTATCAACTACCTTTTTAAAAATTACATTTAGGGAAACGAACACTTTTGTTTGTGTGTTTTAAGTTTAAGTATCTGTGGGCTAGAGTAGTTTTCTTAAATTTTCTATTTTTAGGGTGAATATACAGAAGATGCACATGTAACGTGGGAGGTACTCATAGGTTTGGTTAAGTCACATAATTGGCAAGGATTTTAAAATGAAGCCTGCATGTGAAGGTTTCATAAACACAGACTTCCTTTTGCTGCATTAAGTGATGAATAATTTATCACAATAAGCTAGAGAATTCTGGGAAATGGTTTTTGATTGACTACAAGTCAAACAAGAAACCTTTTCAGAATTGACAAAGCATGTCCACAGGATATATTTTCTTCCATGTCCGTACAGCCCCCTGTTAATGTAGCTCATTCCATGCTATGTACAGCTACCTGTTAATGCAGCTCATTGTGCCATTCAGTACTTTTAATGGTGACATCAGCACGAATAACTATTGCACGTGCATTTGGTTGACACGCTGCTCTTTTACACTGGTGGGAGGCAACATGTGTTCAGCATTCAGTGTTCTTATGTTGGAAATCTTGCTAATGGTATCTGGACGGGTTCTTGAATTGTGGCTGCCAGACATCTTATTTGCTGATGAGACTTGAATGAAGGTTCAGACTTGGCCTAAGCAATTGGATAGACCAGAGGCTAGATAAACACCTCTGTCTGGATCTCTTGCTAATAAGAACCCCCTCCCTTGTTAATGTTAGTCTGCCAGTCACGGAAGCAAGATTGATGGCTTTACAGCTGCTGCATTAAGATTTTTAGCAGCTTGAGTGCCCTGACTAGTCTAATCCAGTCAGAACTTGGAAACTCAGCAGGGTTGGCTAGGGTTAATACTTGGGTGGGAGACCACCACGGAAGTGTTGGGCAGCTATGCAGAAGAAGGCAGTGGCAAACGGTCTCTGCTCATCTCTTGCTTTGAAAACCCTGTGGGCCCTAGAGTTGCCATGAGTCACTTGTGACTTGACAGCAGGCACACAGTTATAGCTATTGAGAAGTTTTGGGGGTGAGTGGGTTGATTTTATTTGAATCTAGCTTTGGGGTGACTGGGTAGGTCTGTTTTATGTTGCAAGCTGCTTTGAGCAGTTTCTCTGAAGAGGCAGCCTGCTGTTCTTTGTGGCCAGATTCCTGTCTTCAGTGCTGCTGCATTTGTTGTGAGCCAAATGGGCGGGACTGGAGGAGTAACAAAACACATTCGTGCTGTGGCAGGAATCTTTTGGCCTGCCGTGACTGCATGCTTGGCTCATTCCAATATTTCTTTGTGCCCTTTCAAGAGAAGCTTTTGGGCACTCCGGAGTTGCTGTAGGGGGTAGCCCTTGGGAGTAGATGGATCTGATCAGTGATAATAAATGTATGGGCATTAGCCTTGTAGGGAGCACAGAAGCCTATGATTTCCATGTAAATAAGTTCAAGCTTTAGAGCACTTTCCCCAAACTTTTAACAGCTGCAGTGTACTCTCTTCCTGGGAAAAAAATAATTAAGGAATCCTTTTGTTCTGGTGTCCAGAGAGGCATCTGAGCAAGGTCTTCTGCAGGTTCCAACCTGCAAATGGGCAAGATCAACAACTGCCTGCACACGTGCCCTCTCCGTGGTGGCCCCCACCTTATGGAACGGCCTGCCCAAGGAGGTCAGGAAGGCTCCCACTCGCCTGGCTTTCCACAAACTCTGCAAGACCGAATTATTCAAGAGGGCTTTTCTGTGCAGGCAATAGAGTTGCACGGTACTAAATGATTTGCAGAGTTACTTAAATAAATCATTAGGGACTCTGGGTCTGTACTGTACTGTTCAGCTTGCTGAAACTAGGATCCTGCTGTGTGATTTTTGCATGATTTAATGCGTCATGTTAAGACTTGCGCTTTCCTTAGTTCTTTTTTAGATTTCTGATTGGTTCTACAACCCTAGTCTTTCTGTATTGCTTATTGAACACCCCATCCTTTCGATTGTGTTGACTCCCTCTGTGTAATCTGCCTCAAATCCAAGTGAGACTCGCCGGCAATAAATGGCACAAATGAAATAAACAGTAGAAATAAATTAAACACAAGTGTGACAGCATGATCATTCTGGGGCCTGACAGTGCCTTCAGAATGGAAAGTCAGTACAACGACCATACAGCATTTTGTCTCATAAAAGGAGCACAGGGCCTCCGGTGAAGGCAGGTGATTTTTTCTTCTGCCCTCCCGTATGTATTGCTCATTCAGTCACTCAGAATGCAAAGCGCCAGTAGAATTACCCCCCCCAGCAGGGGCTGAGAGGAAGCCCAGAGCAATTAAGCACGGGAGCCTGTGATTTGCTGCATTCACGCCACCAGTTCTCTCATAGCACCTCACTGTGCTCTGACATACAGTTTTGAGAATTACTGGTTTACAGAGCTCAAAATACATAATTAGCAAAGTTCTAGGAGGAATATAGCTAACTCTGTCAGTGATTGTCATAAGCAGTTTGAAAAATATGCTGGTCTTTTTCATAACTTTATGCTAAATATTTATTGCACAGGTTTTTAGGCAAGGTTTTATTTTGCAGGTTCTCTTTAAAATTCTAATTAGCCATGTGTATGATGCTGATGGACATGTATTTGACACATGACCAGCCTGAAACAAGATGGAACTAACTGTTTCCCACTTTAAAAAAATGTCTGTTCTGGGGTCTTCTAGCAGTGATCCTTAGTTGCCAAAGATTACCAATTGGCTGTTTTAAATAATTTCTCCTAATTGATAGAAATATGTTGCAACTTTGTTTCAGTGCAGTGTAGAAGCAGAATATTTTTTGGCAGTTATGCCATGGAGGACACTGAACAATCCATTTTGCAGTCATTGTGAAGATTAGGGAAAAGTGACTCTGTGGTTTAAATTTGGGCAAGACCTGTATGTTTTGTTCCTTGCCAAACCGGCTGTGAAAGGCATGTAAGGGAACTGGCCAGTTTTCTGAGCTATTCAAGCTATCCAAATCCTACTTGAGGGTAGCAAGTTGGAATTCCAAACACTGTTACAGTAAATGGTTCCTTGTACATAGACATGTGAAGGCTCATTCCCCCCTAAGGACTTTTGAGGGAGCACTGGAAAAAACTTATGAAATATTTTTGCTTTTGGTGTGCATGAGATGCTTTTTAAGATAAATTTTTACTCAAAATGAGTAGTGTGAAGATTTTTTTAATGCAAATTAATGTACAACATTAGAGATTAATAATTCCTGGTGCTGTGTAGATATATATGGTATTTTTAAAGATATTGTTATTGCTTACATGTAACTAGTTTTGTGTAACACGCTATTAAAGAGGTCATTGTTTTCAATATCCAAATATGCTTCCAGTCCTGTTGTGATTATATGATATGGTTTCTGGCCAAGTAATAAGATTTTATTTTACCTACTACAAAATTTTTGTTTTCTATTTATACCTTTTACTTCTCAAATGGCAAAAACTAATATATGTACTAAATTAACATAAACAGAGCTCTCTCTCTCTGTAAATGGTTATATTTGCAATTTTTTAAACTTAGGCTTTTTATATTTTACAAATAGGTCAACAGTAAAAGAAGGTAGAGTTGATAACCGCATAGGCATTTAACTGTTTCTCAAAACTGGTTTTTTCTCCCCTCCATAGCCTCAGAATTTCCAGAAATTGTGTATCTCTGCTTGTAAAGTTAAAAATGTGAGCACACTCCCCCCCCCTTTCTGGTCACTCCTTGGGAAATTAAAGATGCTTTCAGCATTTGGTAATGACAAGGCTCACCGTTGTGTCAGATCTTGCAATGCATTTGCAGAGTTTTCACCACCACTAGAGAGAAACAGAT